AAAAAAAAAAAATCTCTCCACAAAAGAGAAATATATATATATATATATATATATATATATATACACACATATATACATACGCCCTAAAATTCAATATTTAGTTATTCCCTATAGTCTTCTTAAGGTTTTTCACATCATCGCTGCTTCAGGGAATGACATGCCCGTAACCCTGGGAAAAGTACCACATTGAAATGAGCCCTTTTTGAAATAGCAAGCCTACTAAGTTACCCAGCCTCGATGCCACACCTTGTCTTGTCCCTCCCCGCACAGAACACCCAGAGGATAAGCAGCTCTCACGCCGCCCCGCCGCTCGCCACGCCCGTCGTGTCCATGACGACCCCGAGCTTACCTCCGCAGGGACTCGTGTACTCAGCGATGCCGACCGCCTACAACACCGGTGAGCCTGCGCGCGGCCTGTCACGGGCACACTCCCTCGTGGGGGCCTTTTTCCAAGGGGTATTTATTGAAATAAATCACCTCCAGCTTTGTAGAGTCACATCTGGCTCTATTTTTTTTAAAGATTTATTTATTCATTTATTTTCATTTGACCAGCGAGAGAGAGAAAATGAGAAAGCAAGCTGCTAGGTCCGGGATTCGAACCCTGGTTGGCCATGTGGGAGCGTCCAGTGCCTTAACCACAACACCACTGCTGGTCCCCACATCTGGATATATTTAAAAACACATGCTGTCCACAAAAAAAAAATAAATAAATAAATAAGGAAAGAAAAATACCGTGATAGAAGAAAAGAATGAGTCGAATAAGTGATTTCTGTTTCCAGCATGAACTTTGGTCCATCCCCGACCCAAAGATGAGCTGGTCTTATTGGAACAGTGGCCTGTCGCTGGGCTGTTCTCTCATCACAGTCTCCCTCTCCCCGGTTTCTGGAAGAAACGGGTGTCTTTACGCTGTGCTGACCCGCTCTGGGAGCGACGGTGCGTCCCTGTGGGCGGGCAGCGCACAGAGGTGGCAGGTGTCACTGCATCCAGGAGGCTGTGCTTTCCTTCCCTTCACGGCTGGGCTGGACTGTGTTTTCCGTGCCTCGGGCAGCAGAGCTTTCTCCTCCAAGACAGTCGCCCTTTGACCCTGAAAGGAGCTTTTTTGGAGAAGTCTTCACTATAGGGCATGTGCATTTGCCAGACGACAGAGAGAGAGACAGAGAGACAGAAAGCGAGAAATCACCCCCCAGGGGAATGGCCACGCCGCAATCCCTTCTCCTCCATTCTCCTCTTGGGATCTGGGGCACGCACGCACACGCGCCTGGCGTGAGTTTAAGCCACCAGGTCCGGGACTCGAACCGCGGTCAGTCCAGCGACATAGCCATTACGCCAACAGCTGGTCCCCCTGAGAGGAGCTTTTCACTCATTTCCATTTATTCAGATGTTCTGTCTTGAAATACCCAACCTCGGGTTTATTAGGAAGTTGAGGACGACGGCAGAGATTGGGAGGCGCTCTTTGCCACGCAGGCTGTGTGGGGACCCGTGGTGCACAGCAGGTGTTTAGATTTGCCGCTCGTAGGAGGGGTAGAACACATGGTTTCCCTTTCTCGGCTGCTGAGCCAAGCCGCGGATGCTTCCAGGAGCCGGAGGGAACAGGGCAGTGTGAAGTTCCACCCTGCGGGTTACAGAGGCGGCAGCCCAGGCACGCGCTCCCTGGTTCTCCAACGGAGTCTGCGGCCAAGATGATTCCCGTTTAGACGTCGGGGCTGACGCTTTGGCAGGGTGCTTTGAACTGCCACGTGGAGCCAGCAGGTAGCATAGTGGGTGAGGCGCCGGACTCCCACGTGGCTGACCACAGTTCAGTTCCTGGACCCAGCGTCTTGAAACTCATGCTGGGGGGACCAGCAGTTGGCGTAACGGCCAAGAGTTCCCGGTCACCGTTCACTCGTCTGTCTGGTTTACACGCTCGTCCACGCCTTGTCTCTGTAACGCATCACCTCTGTATGCACATTTAGCGGCAGACACCTGGTAGACAGTAAGAGATGAGTGAATGACGGACCAGCAGTTGGCGTAATGGCTATGTCGCTGGACTCCCATGTAGTCAACAGCAGTTCAAGTCCCAGATCCGGTGACTTAAATTCACGCCGGGCGCGTGTGCGTGCGTGCTCAGGATCCCAAGAAGTGAATGGAGGAGAAGGGATTGCGGCATGGCCAGCCCCCCTGGGGGGTGATTTCTCGCTTTCTGTCTCTCTGTCTCTCTCTCTGTCTGATGAGTGCACGTGCCTTATAGCAAAAACCTCTTCAGTGGGCCCTAGGGCTGACGGGGGATACAGGCACCAAGCAGATGCTCCAGGAAGAACCCGTTGCGTCCGGGTCGAGGGCCAGCGTTCTGATTAGACAGGACGTGTCCGACTCAGCCTGGCAGTGCGGGGCGCATGCTCCCGGGTGAGGGCTCTGCGCAGAGGCCAGGAGTCGGGGACAGGGCAGGGTGGGACCGTGGCTGGAGTCGAGACCCGGAAGGTAAGCGGCATGGGGGCAGGACTGGAGGGTGAGGCCTGGGCCAGCTGGAGCCACAGTGGACCAGAGTGGCAGCCATGGGAGGACGGGAGGGACGGGCCCGACGGCAGCCCCAGGATCTGGTGTGAGCCTCTGGGCGGGCATTGTGCCCCTTCCTGGGAGGAGGTTACGCAAGGAGCAGCAGGCATGGGGGGAGGCTGAGCCAGGCTGGGCCGTGTGGAATTGGAGGCGTTGGGGAGCCAAGCAGACAGGTCAGGGAGGTTGCTGGAAGGGCCCAGCGAGCGCAGGAGAGGGGTGGGGCAGGGGGCAGTGAGGGAGGTGTCAGCATGGCGGGCCCTGCCCCACCTCGGCCATCCCGGGACGCATGGAGCCCAGGCAGGGTCCCGGGCACTGGCCGTGCTGCCGAGCCGGTCCTGTCTCGGCTCCCCCACTCGCTGGGCAGACCCGAGGAGGCAGTTAGAAGTAGAAGGGCTTTTGCCACCTCTCCTCCGTCCCCGTGGGAGACAGGCGACAGTGATGGACTGGAATCGCTCTCCGTGTGTGACCGCTCACGTCCTGCCTCGGTCACCGCGGCTGTGGCCGAGCGTCCGTGCACGATGGGCTGCGTTAATGTTCTCGTGGCACGGCGGTCGCCCGTGACCTGGAAGTGATTTCCCACACGGTGACAGAGCCGCCACAGCCCCACTGCTGTAAATGAATGCAGCGAATTAACTGTGACCACGCGGCGTCTGTGGCACCGAGCTTGTCACCTCGTCGGAAGAGGTCCTCTTCCTTCTCATTCACCGTGCTTCCTTAAGACGGTGATCCAGGGGCCAGCAGGTAGCGTGGCAGTTAAGGCGCCGGACTCCCACCTAGCTGAGCACAGTTCGATTCCTGGACCCAGCAGATTGAAAATCATACTGGGCGCGTGTGCGTGCGTGCCCAAAATCCCAAGAGAAAAATGGAGGAGAAGGGATTGCGGCGTGGCCATCCTCCCTGGGGCGTTGGGGGAAGGATTTCTCACTTTCTGTCTCTCTCTAGCAAGCGCATGCACCTTATGTCAAAAACCTTTTAGAAAAAAAAAAAAGATCATGATTAAATGTAAACAACAAATTAGCAAATAACTAAAATTTAATAAATACATTAAAAATTTTTAAAAAATAAAAGGATTTGATGATCAAGGGACGGCCTTGTAGCCCAGTGGTCAAAGCAGGTGCATCCCGTCTGGCCGACTGTGGTTTGAATCCTGGCCTCAGTAGCTGGAAAAACGCGTCGTGTGTGTGGGTTTGCATGCCCGGAGACCTGACAGGGTAGAAAAACGAGGAAGGGGTCGCGATGTGACCATGCCCCACCGGGGGTGGGGGGTCCTGTCTCTCTCTCTCTGGCAAATTAAAAAACAAAACAAAACAAAACAAAAAAACACACCTGCCAGTCAGACTTAATCCAAATGTACTCTGGTGTTTGTCTCTGTTCCAGGGGGCAGTGGTAGGTTTATTTATTTAAAATATTGAAAAAGTCATGAGTCTTTTTTTTTTTTTCTGTGCAAAAACGCATCATGACTTTTTCCAACAGCCCGGTAGCACTCCCGTAGGAGCATCCTTTAGCGACGGCCTTTATTTAAATGATCCCTGACCAGCAAATAGAACTAGAGCTCATAAACCACCCCGTGGGAGCCCCGTCCACACGGCTCCTTGCGAGGGACCTCATGCCATCTCCCGACGTGGTGTCCTCTACCTCCGCCACGGGGGAGGGGGAAGGAGAAGGCGCGTCCTCATCCTCGTCCCCCGCCGTGCACAGAGCTGTGTCGTCTTCCTTCGCAGATTACTCTCTGACCAGCGCTGACCTGTCCGCCCTGCAAGGCTTCAACTCCCCGGGGATGCTGTCCCTGGGACAGGTGTCGGCCTGGCAGCAGCACCATCTCGGACAGGCCGCCCTCAGCTCCCTCGTGTGAGTAAGCGCCGCCTTCCGTGTGCCCCTGCCCGCACGTCCCGCCCTGTCCGCTGCCATCTTTGCTGTGACCGTCCCGCGGATAACCCTGCCAGGACTTATCTTTAGGAAGACACAGGTGTCGGGAGAGAGCCTTCTCTTTATATGGCTCTGTGCGGTAGGCTGGATAGCACACTAGCATTCCGGGAAGAGATTCGGGGGGCAAGGGCTCCCCTGAGCAGGGACGGACCGCAAAGCTGGTGTCCCCAGAGGTTCCCAGACAGACGCCCCCCCGCGGCACCCGCACCACCTAGCCCGGGCTGCACACACTCACTCCCAGCCCTGCCTCCCTGGAGAAAGGCGGCCTGTGGGGACCAGCAGTTAGCGTAATGGCTATGTCACTGGACTCGCATGTAGTCGACCACGGTTCGAGTCCCAGACCCGGTGGCTTAAACTCACACCGGGTGCGTGTGCATGCGTGCCCAAGATCCCAAGAGGAGAATGGAGGAGAAGGGATTGCGGTGTGGCCATCCCCCCTGGGGGGTGATTTCTCGCTTTCTGTCTCTCTGTCTCTCTCTTTCTGGCGAGTGCCTGTGCCCTATAGCAAAAACCTCTCCAAAAAGAGAAGATGACCTGTGTTCACTGTGGCGCGTACCTGTCAGCTGGGGGAGCAGGAGGGACAGCCTGCCTTTGCTTTCTCACAGGGTCACAGAGAGGAGAAGAGGGGGGGGGTCTCCTGTGCTCTGGGTGGCTCAAGATTTGTGTGGTTGACCCCAGCCCAATGCACACACCACACCACACTCACAAAGACAGTGCCCTTCCCAGGCAGCGTGCGAGGATTCAGACATGGAGCAGCAGGGAGAAGGGACAGGGCCTCGGGGAAACAGTAGACCCATGGGGACAGTGTGACAAACCAGCTGGCCTCCCATGCTCAGGACAGTAGAGATACCCTGGCCTCACTTCCTTCCCAGAAAGTCCCCAGAGGCACCATGAGAGCAGAGTGGACCGCAGGGCTGCCTGCAGGTTCAAATCCCCACATGGGCCTGAAGGCATGCCAGGCATGTGTGCCTGGGCCCAAGATCCTGACAAGCTGGAGGGCCGGAGGAAGGGGACCCAGTGTGACAAGACCCTGCCGGGGAGCCTCCCTGTCCCCCTCTCTCTCACGTACACACTATCAGAAATAAACTTCAGAACGAGAGAGCCCGAGCTCAGCAAGCTTTTGCTCCTGCATTTTGAAAAAATCCCGCAGTGCCGGTTGTTGGCCAGGAATTATGGCGTAGAAGGCGCAGTGTCCTGGGGAGCTTTCTGGGCCAACACAGGGCTTCGGCCCTCAGGCCTGCCCTGCACGTCCTACAGGAACACGCTGCACACGGCCCAGGAAAGCCAGGGGGTGTGTCCGGAAGCCCGGTCTCAGGGCGGTGCCCATGCAGGCCCTCCTTAGCCTCTCGGAGCCGCCCCCTCACCTGGGCACGGAGGGTAACACTACTTAGGAGCATTGCGAGGACTGATGGGAAGCCGCACTGTCGCAGGGCTGCACCTCGGTCTTTCTGGCGTGCACACATGTTAGACCCTGACACCCTTCTGGAAGTTTCCGCCGCAGAGGTTCCGGGTGGCGGGAATGGAGCTAGGTCGCGCGAGGGCTCGGCTGTCCCGCTTCTTCCTCTCCGCGTCCGTCCTAGGAGATGAACTGTGCCAGTCTCGGGGATCGAGGCTCACGGGGTCTCAGGCTGCAGCCCTGTCGGCCCACCCTGGCCGCGGCCATGCTCACACACCATCTAACCTCTCTCTCTCAGCAGTTAGCGTAATGGCTATGTCACTGGACTCGCATGTAGTCGACCACGGTTCGAGTCCCAGACCCGGTGGCTTAAACTCACACCGGGTGCGTGTGCATGCGTGCCCAAGATCCCAAGAGGAGAATGGAGGAGAAGGGATTGCGGTGTGGCCATCCCCCCTGGGGGGTGATTTCTCGCTTTCTGTCTCTCTGTCTCTCTCTTTCTGGCGAGTGCCTGTGCCCTATAGCAAAAACCTCTCCAAAAAGAGAAGATGACCTGTGTTCACTGTGGCGCGTACCTGTCAGCTGGGGGAGCAGGAGGGACAGCCTGCCTTTGCTTTCTCACAGGGTCACAGAGAGGAGAAGAGGGGGGGGGTCTCCTGTGCTCTGGGTGGCTCAAGATTTGTGTGGTTGACCCCAGCCCAATGCACACACCACACCACACTCACAAAGACAGTGCCCTTCCCAGGCAGCGTGCGAGGATTCAGACATGGAGCAGCAGGGAGAAGGGACAGGGCCTCGGGGAAACAGTAGACCCATGGGGACAGTGTGACAAACCAGCTGGCCTCCCATGCTCAGGACAGTAGAGATACCCTGGCCTCACTTCCTTCCCAGAAAGTCCCCAGAGGCACCATGAGAGCAGAGTGGACCGCAGGGCTGCCTGCAGGTTCAAATCCCCACATGGGCCTGAAGGCATGCCAGGCATGTGTGCCTGGGCCCAAGATCCTGACAAGCTGGAGGGCCGGAGGAAGGGGACCCAGTGTGACAAGACCCTGCCGGGGAGCCTCCCTGTCCCCCTCTCTCTCACGTACACACTATCAGAAATAAACTTCAGAACGAGAGAGCCCGAGCTCAGCAAGCTTTTGCTCCTGCATTTTGAAAAAATCCCGCAGTGCCGGTTGTTGGCCAGGAATTATGGCGTAGAAGGCGCAGTGTCCTGGGGAGCTTTCTGGGCCAACACAGGGCTTCGGCCCTCAGGCCTGCCCTGCACGTCCTACAGGAACACGCTGCACACGGCCCAGGAAAGCCAGGGGGTGTGTCCGGAAGCCCGGTCTCAGGGCGGTGCCCATGCAGGCCCTCCTTAGCCTCTCGGAGCCGCCCCCTCACCTGGGCACGGAGGGTAACACTACTTAGGAGCATTGCGAGGACTGATGGGAAGCCGCACTGTCGCAGGGCTGCACCTCGGTCTTTCTGGCGTGCACACATGTTAGACCCTGACACCCTTCTGGAAGTTTCCGCCGCAGAGGTTCCGGGTGGCGGGAATGGAGCTAGGTCGCGCGAGGGCTCGGCTGTCCCGCTTCTTCCTCTCCGCGTCCGTCCTAGGAGATGAACTGTGCCAGTCTCGGGGATCGAGGCTCACGGGGTCTCAGGCTGCAGCCCTGTCGGCCCACCCTGGCCGCGGCCATGCTCACACACCATCTAACCTCTCTCTCTCTCTCCTTCAGCGCTGGAGGGCAGTTATCTCAGGGTTCCAATTTATCCATTAATACCAACCAAAACATCAACATTAAGTCCGAACCAATCTCACCTCCCCGGGATCGAATGACCCCATCGGGCTTCCAGCAGCAGCCGCCGCAGCCCCCGCAGCCCCCACAGCCTCCGCCCCGGCAGGAGATGGGGCGCTCCCCCGTGGACAGCCTGAGCAGCTCCAGTAGCTCCTACGACGGCAGTGCCCGGGAGGACCCACGGGGCGACTTCCATTCTCCGATCGTGCTCGGCCGACCCCCCAACGCCGAGGACAGAGAAAGCCCTTCGGTAAAACGCATGAGGATGGATGCTTGGGTGACCTAGGCTTCCCGGCCGGCCTTGGGGTTTTCGTGTTACTGCAGTGAAGCTGTCCTACATATCTCAATTGGTCAATAAGGACATGAGTGAAACCTATTTATATGTACATGCATACATACGTATGTCCCCCGACACACGTACGTATGTGGGCGTGAGTGTGCGTGTATGTGTGGGTGTGCGTCGCAGACACAGAATCAGGCACTTACCTGCAAACTCCACGTGGGTCTGCCGTCGAGTGTCCCTGGCAGACAGAGCACCCTGCCGGCACAGAGCGGTCGGGCACTTCCTCGGACTCCTCGTTTCTAACGATGGCCGGTTTCTGCAGAGAGACGTGTCCCCATGTGTAACTCTCCCACCGTAGCTTACAGAAACCTAGAGGGCCCCTACTTGTTTTATTTAACTGTGCGGTGACTGTAGTTACTTAAGAAAAAAAAAAATGCTTTGTAGAACAGAGCAGTAGAAAAGCAGGAACCAAGAAAGCAATACTGTACATAAAATGTCATTTATATTAGTTACCCAACCTGGCATGGGTCTCTATCGCAGAGGGGTGCATGGGAAAGGGCTGTTGATATTTAAAGAAAAAAAAAATACAAAAAACAAAACCAATCAGAAGAGCCCCACACATAACTGTTTTGCACGTGCGAAAAATGTATTGGGTCAAAGAAGTGATCTTTAGCTAATAAAGAGAAAGACTAGAAAACACGCATGAGATATTCAGAAAATACTAGCCTAGAAATATAGAGCATTAACAAAATAAAATTAATATATTAAGTTATAATTGGAATATGTCAGAAGTTTCTTTTTACATTCATATCTTGAAAATTAAAGAAACTGATTTTAGCTCATGTATATTTTATATGAAAGAAAACACCCTTATGAATCAATGACTATATATAAAATTATATTCACTACTTTTGAACACATTCTGCTATGAATTATTTATATAAGCCAAAGCTGTATGTTGAAACTTTTTTTTTTTAGAGAATAGCTTTATCTTGTTTTAACTTTTTAGTTTTATTTTGAGAGGGGGAATAAAAAAAAATATCTTGCAAACAGAACCTTGGAAAAAAAAAGCCATGAACACTTATTATTCTATATGTAAATTAAAAGTTGAGCCAAACTCTTTGTGTATATAGCATCTTAAATATATTATCACCTTTGATGTAAGTACCTATGTATTGTATGGTCACCAGATTAAAAAGTATATTTTTGTGGATTGCCGCCAATTTGGGGGGAAAAGGCGAGGTCCTTATTAAGTAGAGTATTCACTGTTTAATATTTACTATTTTGTTAAATATACTGTACTTTGGATTTAATTATTAGCCCAGTTTTTTCAGAGGATTGTATAAGGGGTTCCTCCCCTCACTGGTGGTGAATGTGTGATGTTACATTGTAATCTCTGTGCTGTATGGGTTGAGCATCATTATATATTTTATATGTGTACATAAATAGCAAAGTGGCAAAAAAAATGGTGTTAAGTTCATCCTGCATAAATATAAAATGTGTCGTAACAGATTTTATAAGGCATTATTTAAAACTTGCCTTTTGTGAGGAAAAAATATAGTAGATAAAGCCTACCTAATTTAATGAATATTAGGGGGAAAATGGCAAAATAGTAGATGAGCACAAAGGTTTTATAAGTGGTAAATGATTAGGGAAAACTCTTGGTAGGGAAGGGAATCCTCAATGTAGGATAACACAGCTGGGTATAAAAAAACCACCAGTGCCGCTGTTCTGTGCATTGGAAGGACACTTGGCGTGACTCTGGCAGTCCTAACTGAAATCAGTGCCACCCAACCTGCAGCCTGGATTAGGAGCAAGGCCTTATTCTTACAGGAAGACAACCAATCGGTGATAGCAAGTTCATCTGCTCACTGGGCATGTGTCATGAACAAAATTCAAAGTCCTCGTGTATCTTTCATCATGGATTTTTTTTAAATACTCCTTTTCCTGAGAAACTCAAGGATTTAAATATTGTTGCTATTTTATATTTTAAACGTAATACACTGATCAGCCACCTACAGTTTGTACTCACATTTTGTTTTTCCCCCTAAATTATGCTCCTTCAGACGATTTCTTCCTCTGCTGTTTGTGACAAATCACCCAGCAGACTTCCTGACCAACACATAGGTATTAGGTACAGGGTAAACCTCGGGCATTCCCAAACTGTGAAATGCCAGTTTGGGCAATAAATAACTTTTGATAGAGACCCCCAAAAGGGGAGGTGAGATGCCATCTCCTCTCTTCCATGTAGACATGTGGCTCGTTTTCAGAAAGGATTTGTTTTTCTTGAAAAAATGTACTTATTTGACTCACTCTTACAGGCACGTTTCTTCATAAGGTCACACCAAATTGCAACAAGACAGTCTCCCAGCACTGAATTTCCAAGATCATCCTTACCACTTTGTAAACCATTTATAGCTTTGGAAGTGTTAAGTGATTCTCCTGTTATTATTTATGCATGTACATTGGAATAGGAGTTAACGCATTCACATTTACTGTCTATTTTCTTGTGTGCCTTATGAGATGGCGTTTCTGACTGTATCTCAATAGTCTTTCTTTCTATGCAGGTTTATAATCAGTACAACTACTGTTTTCTAAAATACTACACAAGGCTCGGAGTTTGTACTTCAATCACACTGACCAAGTAACAATGTATTCCGTTTTTCAGGAACTGAATATTTGACTGTTAACTTTCTCCCACATGCCCCAGGTACCTGGGAGCATGTGACCTGACAGACATCCCTCACCCCACTCCCACGTGGGAACACATCCACCTCCATGACTCTCGGTGGAAGCCAGCCAAGAGTGGGAACAACACTCACGGTGTGGTTTTAGAACTGACTTTTCCTACCCATTGAGATTCGTGTGTGTTGTATAAGACACCATCACTAGAAAATGTCATCCCTCTGGAAGTATGTCATTAGATGACTAAACGAAAACCAAAATGCTCAGAGCAGCAAGTCACGCTGGTCACAGGCCAGCTTCCACGCTGTGGTCTGTCGCGCTCTAACTGGCACTTCCCCGAGAGCGACAGGTCCCATCGTGTCCACACAGATGGTCCCCAGCAGAACTCCCATCTTTTGAGCTCTAATAAGTCCGTCATGTTCTAGACTCAATCAGGGCTTTGTTCTAGAAGAACAATACGTGTTTCTGCCATTTCCTTTCACGATCAGGACTAACGCATTGGCATCATTTCTGTCTTAACCATCACGCGCACAAGAAATACATAGTAAATAAGGAACCCGACAACTCCTGGCGTTTGGATCATAAGAAGCTAGATGATTAGAATGTGAAAAAGATTTTACAAATGTAAAATTTTATTTCTCTGTAGAAAACTTTTCTTCACTTTGCTGTGCAAGAAGACACTGCTTTGCTATGTTTAAAATGGCTTTTTTTTAAAAAAAAAAAAGAAAAGAAAAAAAGAGATTTATGTATTTGGTAAATGTTTGTAGTTCACACAAGAAGCTGTACACGGTTTGATCCTGTAAAACCGTTTGGCGGCACAAGCTGGACTTTGTTGCCATCTTTGAGATGAACCTTTTAAGAAAAATAAGTTAATCTCAATTTTTCCCTGAATGTGTTGTTGTTTTGTTTGTTGTTTTGTTTTTTTTTTCTTCTTCTTCTTCTTCATTATACAATAAATATTACAGTGAACTTTTTATCCAATGGTTTAGACGATGCTAGGGGTGGTCGTTAACTCTCTGTCCTGCCCTCGCCCCAGCAAAGGCAGCCTGGCCCATGCGGGTGCATTCCAAATACTGTCATGTTTGGACAACAGTCCGGCCCTGGCTGCCACCAGCGCCCCCTTTCACCCACACACCCCATTCTCTTATGTCGCGACCTGGTCGAGGGGATCATTCCTGTGCCCTGCCAGCCTCCCTTGTGCGGGCTCTCAGGCTGCCCTTTCTCCTGGGTCATCCTAGAACCCCTAGGATTTGGTGAGATCCAGCCCCCAACACCAGACAGCCTGGCTGTTCTGTGCACACTGATATGGGCCTGAGTTCTTCAGGCTCCAGGAACCACTTCTCACAAGAAATACACCAACCTGGGACCAACAGATGGCATAATGGCTATGTCGCTGGACTCCCATGTAGGCCATTGTGGTTCAAGTCCTGGATCCGGTAGCTTAAAATTCACACTGGGCAATGCGCATCTGTGCCCAAGATCCCAAGAGGAGAACAGAGGAGAAAGGGTTGAGTGGCCATCCCTCCCAGGGGGTGGGGTGATCTCCCGCTCTCTATCTGGCTCATGTCCCCTATAGCAAAAACTCTGGGACCAGCAGTTGGCATAATGGCTATGTCGCTGAACTCCCATATAGTCAAACACAGTTCAAGTCCTGGACCCAGTGGCTTAAACTCACACCGGGCCCATGTGCACGCAACCTTGGACACCATGCGGTTGGAGTCTGCAGGGCCAGACCTGGTGGGATGTGCAGGCTTCCTCCTAGACACCACACCTCCATCCTTCCCAGCCCGGATCCCCACCTTTTAATCCTGAATGATTAACCCACAAATGAAAGAGGGCACGTCCATGTTCCTTCACAGAAGAAATGAGTTTATTCCAATTGAGAACAAAGATACAGATGTTCCTTCTTTGTCTGACAAAAGTGATTCCGCCATGGGACCCCCGAGGCCTGCTTGGGGAGGTCAGTGGTACCAAAGGTTGGGGGTAAGCAGCAGCATAAGCACACACGTTTGGCAGCAAAAGCATTTACATGACCCAACCACGTCCTGCCGCAAAGCCTCACGGGTAGTTTCTCCTGAAGATCATTTTGATCTCTAAGAAGACAAATTTGGGGGCCAGCAGGTGGTATGGAGGTGAAGGCATTGGATCCCACATGGCCAACTGTGTGGTTCAAATCCCGGACCTGGTGACTTGAAAAATTCTCTGGGGACATGTGGATACATGTCCAAAAATCCCAAGAGGAAAATGGGGGACAAGGGATTGTGTCAAAGCCCCCCGGGATGTGATCTGTCACATTTTCCCTCTCTGTCCAGCGAATGCACACGCCCTACAGCAAAACACAAAAAGACCACAAACATTTGAAGATAATTGGCTAATTAAACCCCGAGACTTTTTTTTTTTAAATCTATTATTATGTTTTAAATTTGCCACAGGATATGAGGGTCCACCAGAGAGAGACAGAGAGGGAAAGCAAGAAAGCAAGCTGCCAGGTCTGGGACTCAAACCATGGTCGGCCATGTGGGAGTCCAGCTCCTTAACCACCACGCCACCTGCCGGCCCTCAATTTGTTTTTTTCACACAACAGAGAGGGGACGGGAATCAGCAGCACCCTCCGCCATCCTCCCCTCCTCTTGAAGCGTGGTGCCCTCTAAACTCTAAATGGCGTGTCAACTGCCGTCTGCTTCTCAAAGCTCAGCATCAGTGTGGCGTGTTCCCTGTCCACAAGCTCTCAGACCCTGAGCCACCAACCAGCCCAGCCCCTGCCGACCCCTCTGTGACACAGTGGGCCCACTCCCAGGCAGCCACAGGCCCTCACCTGGCCCTTCGCCCCTCGTTGCCTTGTCAGGGAGGAGACAGGCGAACCCCCGGTCCCTTCCTCCCTACCTATCAGGCCCCTGCAAGGCACAATCTTGGAACACTAGCGTTATGTCTTATAAAGAGTGTTATTCTAGAGGCGCCACACAAAGAAAATGGGGGACCAGCAGGTGGCGTGGTGCTTAAGGTGGCTGGATTCCCACGTGGTGAGTGGTTCGCATCCTGGACCCAGGGCCTTGAACATTCCAGGCACGTGTGCATGTGTGCCCAAGATCCCAAGAGGAGAATGGAGGAGAAGGGATTGTGGTGTGGCCATTCCCCCTGGGAGTGATTTCTCGCTTTCACCCTCTCTCTGTCTCTGGCAAGTGCATGCGCCTTATGGCAAAAACCTAAAAAAAGAAAAAAAAGGAAAGGAAAAAGCTGAGCCACCTTCTTGTGCCGTGTCACGTGGTTCTAAGTCTGGGGTTGGACAAGCAGCAGGAGGAATCCCGTCTCAGGTGCCACCGGGGCCATCGCCCTCAGCCGCGTGGGTTGGCCCAGGCCTGCGTGAGCACAGAGGCGCCCCCTAGAGGTGGAACCTCGCTGACGAGCACTCAGCCTTCCCTCAGAGACTGGCTCCTTCCGGGATCCCAAGCAAGAGACCCCGAAGCCATCCCCATAGGCAGTGGCTCTAAAAATACGATGATGAGAAAGGCCAGTTACAGCACCCCAGCGGTGTGGGTCTGGGGCCCCCTCATCCGAGAAGTGGCGTCACCTCTAACAGGCAAACTGAGGCATCAGAGCCGGCAATGACTGTCACTTGTCACTCTCCACAACACGGTGACGTCCCAAGCCCATCCCACAGCGACTTTGCTGGGGAGATAAGAAACGCCACTGCTTGAGACCAGCAGTTGGTGTCATGGTCATGTCACTGGACTCCTGCAAGGCCAACCCGTTTGAGTCCCAGACGCAGTGGCTTACAACTCACACCGGGAACATGTGTGTGTGAGCCCAAGATTCTGAGAGGGGAATGGAGAAGGGACTAGGGTGTGGCCATCCCCCTCTGGGGGGAGCGGTGTGATTTCTTGCTTTCTGTCTCTGTCTCTCTGACAAGTGCTTGTGCCCTATAGCAAAAATCTCTCTTAAAAAAAAAGAATGGGGGGGGGGACCAGCAGTTAGCATAATGGCTATGTCGCTGGATTCTCATGTAGTCGACCATGGTTCCAGTCCCGGACCTGGTGGCTTAAACTCACGCCGGGCGCGTGTGCGTGCGTGCCCAAGATCCCGAGAGGAGAATGGAGGAGAAGGGATTGCGGCGTGACCATCCCCCCTGGGGGGGGATTTCTCGTTCTCTGTCTGTCTTTCTGGCACGCGCATGCACTCTATAGCAAAAAAAAAAAAAAAAGAAAAGAAAAGAATGCTATTTCTCAGAGCCAGTCACCCCCTGCCCATGCCCCACAACAGACACAAACACACACACAGCAAGTGGGGACACCGCAGCAGCCAGGCTGGCCCCAGGGACCTCCCTCCCCAATCAGGTCTCTTGGTCAAGGCTAGTCTTCTTCCAAGCACATCCAGTGAGGGGCCAACACAGTGCCACCGTGAAGACACTCACAACCGGGCCCCGAAATGTCTTCATGGCCACCATCGCTCATGCCTGTCCCTCTTGGGTCACCTCTCTGGGGTCGAAGGCTGAGAGTGCTGGTGTTTAGATCCTGCGACATTGCATTAGGAGACGCCATTGTCCAGGGCTGGTGGGATCCAGACGCTTGGGTGACTTCTGACCGAAGTCCCTCTGTCCCAGGATGTGGCCAGCGACACCTGACGCACATGGGAACCAAGGGCCAACCTGGGCTGCTTTGTTCAAAGCAATTGCTCTGGGGTCCAGGAGGTGGAGTGGTTAAGGCACTGGACTCCCACATGGCCGTCCGTGGTTCGAGTCCTGGACCCGGTGGCTTAAACTCATGCCGGGCACGTGTGCGTGCGTGCCCAAGATCCCGAGAGGAGAATGGAGGAGAAGGGATTGCGGCGTGGCCATCCCCCCTGAGGGGTGATTTCTTGCTTTCTGTCTCTCTGTCCCTCTGGTGAGCTCACGTGCCCTATAGCAAAAACACTCTCTCCCAAAACAAAACAAAACAATGACTCAATTCCCAGCCTGTGTAGATGGACCAAAGCGGCTAGCTGAAGAGGGGACAGCTGGCACCGGAATCGCCACCCTGGGGGTTTGGCCTGGAACCACATTCAGAGCCATCGACCCATTGGGGACAACTGTCGCATTCAAGCTCTCGGGGGTCTCCCCAGTAGCTTGTATTTTAAAATAGACTAAATAAAACACGGGCAGAACGATCCCCACTAGAAGCATGATGAACACGGCGTTCCACCACCGAAGCCCACAGTCGGCGCCGTTCAGGGGCGTCTTTGCGGGAGCCGGGAGCAGCGGCTGATCGGCAGCGTCTATGCAGTAACTCTCGCTTAGAAAAATGTCTGACTGCGCTGCGCGCTCGATATTCTGGTCGATCCCCTTAAAGAAATCCGTCAGCGGGTTGGCTGGGGCCTCGGCCCCCGTGGCTTCTCCATCTGCGTCTGCTGGTTCCGCCAAGGTCACTCTGGTCTCTGGGCTCTGGAGGGGTTTCAGTTCCGTGTTGGTCTCTGTGAGGACGCCATGGTTTCTCACTGGAATCTTAATCGATTTTAAGGCATACAGATCTTGTTCTCTGACTAAGTTGTTGACTTTCTTGATATCTGCGACCTAGGGGCGACAGACAGGATGACATATATGAAGCTCCTGAAAGCTAGGATCCATCAGGACCATCAGCATAATGGCTGTGTGGTTGGACTCCTATGTAGTCGGCTGTGGTTCGAGTCCCGGATCCGGTGGCTTAAACTCACGCCGGGTGTGTGTGTGTTCGTGCCCAAGATCCCGAGAGGAGAGTGGAGGAGAAGGGATTGCGGTGTGGCCATCCCCCCTGGGGGGTGATTTCTCGCTTTCTGTCTCTCTGTCTCTCTCTGTCTTTCTGGTGAGTGCATGCGCCCTATAGCAAAAACCTCTCCAAAAATAAATAAATAAAAAATAATTAATTAAAAATTAATAAATAAATTAAATAAAAAGAGCTTGTCGTGAACTTTTTAAGAGTTTTTGTTTGTTTGTTTGTTTGTTTGTTTGCTATAGGGTGCATGCACTCGACAGAGGCACAGAGACAGAAAGCAAGAAATCACCCCCAGGGAGGATGGCCACACCGCAATCCTTTCTCCTCTATTCCCTCTTGGGATTTTGGTCACACGCGCACATGCACCTGGCGTGTTGTAAGCTGCTGGGTCTGGGAATCGAACCACGGTCGACTACATGGGAGTCCAGCGACATAACCGTTACGCCTTCTGCTGGTCCCACGCGATGAACTCTTCTTGTAATCAAACCTTCAGATTTAAGAAGTAAGTCAAAAGGGAAACCTTACCTCAAGCTAATGCTTGAAAAATAAATGTTTTTTTTTTTTGAGGTTTTTATATAGGGCATTTGTGCTTGATGGAGAGAGACAGAAAGAGGGGAAGTGAGAAATCGACTCCCGGGGAATGGCCATACCACAATCCCTTTTCCTCCACTCTCCGCTTGGGATTTTGAGTGGCCACACATACACACCTGGTGTGATTTTCAAGCCACCAGGTCCAGGACTCGAACCGTGGTCATCCATATGGCAATCCAGTGCCTTAACTACGACACCATCTGCTGGCTCCAGTGCTTGAGAATTATTCAAAAGCATCAGAGATGGACTCTCAGGTTTCAACTCATAAGTCCATTAAACTAGTGTGCAAATTCAACCAACAGACCTTTAGCTAGATGTTCATTCAAGCATTTCCATGGTCAACAGCTGTTACCATGGAATTGAATTGGGATAGGGGAATTTTTGAATGCATCCTGAAACGAATGTGTAAGATGCTGGAGATCTTTTCATCTTTGCCCCTGATAACTAGCAGCAAATCGATCACTTTAAACTGCAAAACTGGTAACGGGTAGCATTATATATTCTTTATGAATTTATTAGACTTTACCATTCCAAAAGACCTATTCACTCTGTTCAGGTCTTTTTGTTTTTGTTTTTGTTTTATGGAGAAGTTTTTTTTTTGTTTTTTTTTTTCTTTTTTTGCTATAGGGTGCATGCACTCGCCGGACAGACAGAGAAAGAGACAGAGAGACAGAAAGCGAGAAATCACCCCCCGGGGGGGGGCCCATGCCACAGTCCTTTCTCCTCCAGTCTCCGCTCGGGATCTTGGGCACGCACGCACACATGCCCGGTGTGAGTTTTAAGCCACCGGGTCCAGGACACAAACCACAGTCAACTACATGGGAGTCCAGAGACATAGCCATTACGCTAACTGCTGGTCCTACTCTGTTCAGGTCTTTGTAGGGTACAACTCATTTTTCAGCCTGTGTCCTATAAACCAGGTGGTATGCACACAGAAAGTAATTCTAAGAGTCAGATATAAATACCAGCACACTTTTTAAAAAAGGTTTTTGCCTTAGAGCGTGTGCATTCGCTGGAGAGAGAGGGAGAGACAGAGACAGTGAGACGGAAAGTGAGAAATCACCTCCCAGGAGGGATGGCCAGGCAGCAACCCCTTCTCCTCCATCCTTCCAGAATCTTGGGCATGCAAGTACACACACCCGGTGTGACTTTAAAGTCACTGGATCCAGGGCTCGAACCATGGTCAGCCATGTAGGAGTCCAGCGATGTAACCACTATGCCACCTGCTGGTCCCAGATGAGTACATTTTCAAGACTAGTATGTGTCTCTGGAAACTAGGCTTGTTTATTTCCTTAGCAAAAGAAGCACAACGCCCCATGCAATGCGTTTAGCCTTTTGACTCTTGTTAGCTAAATGGCAGGTACTTAAAAGAGAAGAAGATATTTTTATTAACTAGCTGTTAGCGCCTCAGAGAAAGTCATCGAACTTTGTAGCACAACGTTAACATAATGAAATACATAGATTCGATCTAGGAGAAAAATGCAACAAATCTGTAAAATTCTTTCCTACTTACTTTGCCATTGTTAATCACTCTGAATGCTAAAAATATAATTAAAGAGAAAAAGAGGTTATACAGATAGCCAGCATATCCATGCTAGATCATGCAATTCTAAAAGACAGAAGACAAAGCTTTATCGGCCTGATAAGCCACCACCCAGAAGAGTTCAGAAAAGTGGGGACAGTCAGAAAAGCGAGCATGCCAAAGACAGCTTGGAGAAATTCTGCCTGATTATCTCCAGCCCCGTTAGGTCTTAAATACAATGTGGACAACAACAACAGCAACAAAAACAAACAGAAAAACAGGTTTCAGAATTTCTATGTGGAGGGAAAGGGAAAACAGGGAACTGTGCCATGACCTGAGGCTCCTGGCCAGTCCTCACTCTTTATAAGCCCAAGGTCCAGAAGTAAAGGCATTCACACCTGCCTTCCACCTCTGCCTAACCGGGGAGTCCTTGATTGCTAAAGTCTATGGGGGTCAGGGAGAGCAACAGGGCTCACCCTGTAGTGAATCCTTCTAGTTTAGGGGGATCCTAACTAGGAGTAAGGAATTGGGCCACACAGTAGGAGTTGAGGGGCGGGCAGTGAGTGAAGCTTCACCTGCATTTACAGCCACTCCCCATTGCTCTCATGACCGCGTGAGCTCCGCCTCCTGTCAGATCAGCAACGGCATTAGATTCTCATAGGAGTGCAAACTCTGTTGTGAACTGCGCGTGCAAGGGATCTATCGGGAAAGTCATGACTCATTTTTACATAGAAAAACATAGAAAATACGTCAAGACTTTTCTAACATCCAATCGGTTATGCTGTCCTTAACACCTGAGGTGGAGCGGAGGCAGTGATACTAGCACTGGGGAACGGTTGCAAATATTGCTTAACATTAGCAGAGAGGTCTGACTGCACAGAGACCATAACCCATCCATCGCTTCTAGACTCGTATCAAAACCCTATCAGTGAGTGGCAAGTGACAATGAAGCTGCATCTGGTAGCAGGCTTTAAGTGAGAAACTGTTCCCTCTCCCCTCCCCAGTCTGTGGAAAAATTATCTTCCATGAACCCGTCCCTGGTGCCAGAAAGGTTGGGGACCAATGCCCTAATTGCTCCGAGGATGAGGCCAAGGCCCCTGTGGGATCTTACTTTGCAGCCATACTGCAGAGCCAGCTTGTTGAGGTTGTCCTCCTCGGCCACCTCCCGTTGCATCAGCACCACGTCACTCACTCTGGGCCGCTGAGGGTGGGGGGTACCCTTCTTCTGGCGCTCGGGGCCCCGGGACCGCAGAATCACATGATGGGTCTCTTCCTCAGAGGAGTCCCCAGAGTCCCCACTGCCATTCTTAAACATGTAAACGTGGCTGGTTGGAGTCCTACACACCACAGCTGGGCCTTGGAAGGTCTTGGTTAACACTTCTTTCTGCCTCATTTTCTTGACTGAAAACCAAGCCTGGGGTTAATTGCACAGAAAACATACGCATTCCTCCACAGGTCTACTAAAGAGAAGTCTGTTACTAGGGATGCTTTCGTATTCTAACCATTGCAAATACTTAACACCATCATACACAATGAAAAAGAGTTGTGTTTATGTTGGCAGAGAGGGGCCACCACAGGCAGAATAAAAGCACTTCAGCATTGAGGTCAGCTGGCGCTGGACTCCCACGTGGCTGACGGTGGTTCGAGTCCCAGAGGGGGCAGCTTGAAACTCACACCGGTCACTTGTGCGTGCGTGCCCAAGATCCCAAAAAGAGAATGGAGGAGAAGGGATTGCAGTGTGGCCATCCCCCCCTGGGGGTTGATGTCTCGCTTTCTGTCTCTGTCTCTCCAGCGAGTACATGCGCCCTATAGCAAAAATCTCTCAAACAAAAACAAAAACAAAAAAACTACAGCATTTTTTTTTCCTACTCTCATATTTTTTTGTGTGGAGAGGAATCCCCTTTCTTCTGCCGTACTCCTCATCCATAGCCATGTGTCTTTCAATCCCACCTGTGTAAAGACACAATTTCTATTTTCGGCCTCAGCGAACTAAAGGAGGCTGGAAGGCTCCCCATGGCAGGGCTGTTTTTAGCTGCCTTGCACGGAGCGTCTTTAACTCAGAACCTTTGTACACAGAAGTCTGAGCACACGTTGCAGCGTGTCCTCACTAAGGACCCTTATTTTGACACAGCCGGACTTACATAAGGGGAGGGGGCAATGCCATCGAACTGACAAATTCTGTCTCCCGGTCACTTTACTTCGGTTCAGGACATCCCCACGTCAGCTTTCTGTTTTCACCTGCCAAGTACCCAGTGCCACAATGACCTCCCTTAATCTTTCCCAATTGTCCCGATGAGATTCCAGTTCGGGACAGTCCGCGAACCCGGTGTGAACCTCTCACACCGCCGTGCGCCCCGGGGACCGGTCCCGAACCCCCAGCCCCGACTGCGGGGCCTCTGCTCTCCCGGGGAGGAGGGAGGCGACCGGCTTTCCTAGGGCGGCTGGGGAGGGCAAGGGTCACCTGCAGGACCTCGGCATCGAGGTCAAGGCCTGTTTCCCGCAGGGCCCTTTCAGGAAGGGTCGGGGATCCCTAAACAGGTGCCCAGGGGAGAACCGGGGAGCGGCGCCCCCCTCGGCTGAGACGGGCGGGACCCCGACGGGACACACGCACGACCTCTGACTTCTGACCAACCCCCGGCCACCTGGGCCCAGACCTCGACAATCGCGATTGCCGATCCTCCAGCCTCGGAGCCGAC